TGTGTGTTTTTTTTACTCTCAAAGCCGTGGAGCCCATTGACTGCCATTATATGACTGACAGACTGCAACGGTTTGAGTTAAAAATCTTCGTTTGTGTTCAACTGAAGAAACAAAGTCACCTACATCTTGGATGCCCTGGGGGTAAGCAGATAAACATCAAATTTTCATTTTTGGGTGAACTATCCCTTTAAGAAAAAGCAACATTTCTTAAAGTATTGTAATCTCTCAGCAAACTACTACATAAAAACGACGATTGTGTTCTTTCATGCATTCAATGTGTAACAAATGTGATGCTCCTTCAAAGGAGCGATGTGCTCATTTTATAACGTATATTGTGCAAGAAATGCGTGACAGTTTTTACACTGAACCTAGTTAGAAACCAATTAATTTTCGGAATTGTACAAAATAAGAAGGAAAACATAACTGCTTTATCAATGGCAAAACATCAAAGTGTTTATGACATGCAAGGTGTTGGTCAGTTTATTATTTTGTTCAGTTTATTAGCAGCTTGAATACCTGTTTGGAGGGGTCAAGGCACTCTACACGTCTGATTTCAGACCGATCTGTGTGTTTATCGAGCTTCAGCTGTGTTTCTGAATCTTCACTGCACTACAACCAATGGGAAAATGCCTTTCAATATTAATTACTCACAGATTCTGATATATTCTGTAATGTGACTCAAACCACAATCTGTGCAGATATAGTTCAGAGGGTTTATGTAGTCTAAAACAAGAGAGCTCCTCTAATTACTATTATTAATATAATCACAATGTTTTACCTGCTGGTGTTGGACTGAAGGAACAGGAGACAGACGACAGGAAAGAGTAGAGGATTCTGGGATAGCGTGAAATGAGAAGGCTTTAGAAGGAGAGGAGGAAACAGCAGCAGAGCTTTCATCTGCCTGTGTGAGGAGAGCAGGAAGATGTAGAAAAAGGAAACATTTAAAAAAGGAAATCACAATCCAAAGATTATACAGAAACTGAACACTAAGATGACAGAAGGGGAGGACAGAGATAAAATAATAATTAAAAAATAATAAATTACCACTACTAGTAGTAATACATTTATTATTATTATTATTATAGTAAAATACAGCATTATTTTAAATATTGTTATAATTAATAAATAAAATACTACTACTAACAATAAATTGTATTGAAAAATATAATTTAATGTAGATGACACTAAAACATTATGTATTAAATAACTTTTTTAATTTATAACAATATAATAAATTATAATAAATAAAATATGAAATATTTAGTTACAATAAATAAATAAAACACTACTACTACAAATATAATATTAAACATGAATCTGTTATTATTATAAATATAATACAAATACAATTATAATAACATTAGTGTTTTAATAATTAAGAAATTTTTTTAAAAATTCAAATTATTAAAAAAATATATTTTATTAAAAATGTAAATTAAATGTTAATGAATGTTTATTTAAAAATAATAAAAATGTAAATATTAAATTATTGAATTTTATTTTATTTTTTAAATATTATAACATTTGTATGAATCAGTTATTATTGTGAGTGGAGCTGATATTGAAATATTACCAGTTTATATTAAATATTGTTGTAAAGAAATTAAATTAGTACTACTACTAAACAATACAATTATAATAATATTAGTGTTTTAATAATATTTAATAATATTCTAATTGAATCACTTTTAAAAATCAGTTATGAATATTATACAATAATCATATTGGTCAAAAACTGTGAAGATCTCAGTCTCTCTCTATAGGAGAGAACGAAAAAGGGAAAGAAAGACAGAAAGAGAGAACAGAGGACTGCATTCAGGAAAGTGGCCAACCACAACGTGATTATTTTATGCATTCCTGATTAGTTCTGCTGAAATGGAAGCGTGCTGACCAAACAAACTGTTCTGCATTTCTTCTGCCTCAGTTGTTGCGTTCAATAATTATATAAGTCAGGATGAAAAAGAAAAGGTCACTGTAAATAAAGCATGGAGAAAGACAGAGACCACCGGATGCTGGCACATTTAAGTCCTTTCAAGGGGAAATCCCTCATGAGGTCAAGTAAGGACAAAAACCAAAACGCAACACAGCACTTGTTAAAACACACTAAACATGCTCATGCCTTTATCACCAGCAAGGTGGACTATTATAATGGTCTCCTCACCGGCCTTCACAAGAAGACTATTAGACAGCTGCAGCTCATCCAGAACGCTGCTGCCAGGATTCTGACAAGAACCAGAAAATCTGAGCATATCACACCAGTCCTCAGGTCTTTACACTGGCTTCCAGTTATATTTAGGATTGATTTTAAAGTACTTGTACTCGTTTACAAATCACTCAACGGCCTAGGACCTAAATAAATTGCAGATATGCTCACTGAATATAAACCTAACAGACCACTCAGATCATTAGGATCAAGTCAGTTAGAAATACCAAGGGTTCACACAAAACAAGGGGAATCCGCTTTTAGTTATTATGCAGTTGGAATCAGCTTCCAGAAGAGATCAGATGTGCTAAAACATTAGTATATATATATAATTATCGGCACAGGTGCACATATCAATGCTTCCCCTAAAATGCATGAGTTTAAAGTTAAAGAAAAAGTCAATAACTGTTTAAATTAAAAATAATTTAATAACACTGTTAAATATGATCTTTAGCAAATAGCAAAAAAAAAAAACATTTTCAGGGTTCACATTTTAATGTTGTGATGCCTAAATTCACTTGTAGCATTAATTTATTTTAGTTTTAAGGGTTTTATTTTTAACTTTTTAAAAATTCCTTTAATAAATAGTCGATAAAATAGTCTTAAATAGTCTTTAAAAAAAAGTCTAAATTCAAACTTTAAAGGGGTCATATGATGCTTTTTTAAAGATCATTATTTTGTGTATTTGGTGTAACAGAATATATTGACATGCTTTAATGTTCAAAAAACACATTATTTTTCAAATACTGTACATTATTGTAGGTCCTCTATGCCCCGCCTCTCTCAAACACGTCGTTTTCTACAAAGTCCCTCCTTTCACACACACACGCGCGCACGCACGCACTTTAGCTAATAACAAAACAGTAGCTGATTCAGGTTGTCATAGTAAAGTCAGAATTACCTCCTCTCCTAGGTGCACGAAACGGTCGTCCATTAAATGCATTGCTGTTCTGTTGTAAGTAATCTTAAAGATTCCTAAATGCATCTACTTTCGGAAGGCCAAATAAAGTGCTTTTGCTTTCGCCTAGAAACACACAGCGTCTCCCTGACATGGCTGCTTCAACACTAACTGCGGTTACTGAAACCACGCCTTCTTTCTTTGCATGAACATTTGGGCGGCATTATGCAAATATTCCCACATAGGGACCTAGATATGTGGGGGCGTGTTAGAACAAGCCGTTTTAGGGGGGCGTGGCAGAGTCTTAACATTGAAAAAGAATATCTCTTTGGTTTTGAGACTTTAGAATCAATACACTGCTGCATGGGATTGTGAGTGATGTGGAATGACAGCTCTTTCCCAGCTGGCGGAGCATACCTGCCATTTTGGTTTGGGTGGAGGGGGTGTGGGCTGGCTCTTAGGTTTGGCAAAGCGCAGGTTTTCTGTCATGTCCAGAGATACGGGTTTGTCAGCCTCAGATTCAGACTAGTTTCGGTAACATTGCACCCGGGGAGATAGAAAGAGATAGAAGATGCAGAAAGAAACAGGACGGAAAGGAAGAGAAAATCAGAGGGAAGCTAGAAAAGCCACAGAAAAAGGAAAGTAAATGTAAGAGCAGAACAACTGAATGAAACAGCATTAAATGCTTAAGACCACAGATTGACTTATGATCAACAACTCGACTGCACTGCACAGAATGTTCATTAGCTGTTCATAGTCAGTTATGAAGTATTAACACTCCATGAGCGACCTACATCCTTTAAGCCTATAATTGAGCAGCCAGACCATTTAATGACCACTGCTAATCTCAAAAAAGGAAAGCCGGCTGCCGAAAAACAGCAGGACGACTGTGAAAATCACAATTACACTGCATTAAGGGATTACAACTAGAGACAAAACAATTATTCTTCTGAATTAAACTTATTCTGTAAATAATATACCCATACCTTTTGGAAATTTAATATAGAAACAGTAAAAATGTTATTTGTTTTTGTTGGCTGTTTTTTTGTAGTTAGTTTTAGGCTAATCTTAAGTTTTCTAAAATTGACTAGCAAAGCATTCGTCATTTTAAGTGTTTTTAACTTTCTCTGTTTTTACATTTAGATCATATACAGTAGTACTAACTAACCTACAGTGAATCTTAAAAAAAACACTAATTTAATAACACTGTTAAATAGAATCTTTAGCAAAATCTTATTTATAATAATAAATATCCATCCATTCTTTTCATTATAATTGTGGTGTCTACATTCACTTGTAGCACCTATTTACGGCTAATCTTAAGTTTTCTAAAATTGACTAGCAAAACATTCGTCATTTTAAGTGTTTTTAACTTTCTCTGTTTTTACATTTAGATCATATACAGTGGGTACGGAAAGTATTCAGACCCCCTTAAATTTTTCACTCTTTGTTAAAAACACTAATTTAATAACACTGTTAAATAGAATCTTTAGCAAAATCTTATTTATAATAATAAATATCCATCCATTCTTTTCATTATAATTGTGGTGTCTACATTCACTTGTAGCACCTATTTACTTAGTTTAAGTGTTTTATTCTGAATTTACTAAGGAATAATCAAATTATTAATTATTTACATTTTTTTTCTTTTATAATTATTACATTTTATTGAATTTTAATTAAAATAAGAATTTTGAATTTATTAAGAAAATCAAATTACAGTGGCATGTGAAAGTTTGGGAACCCCTTGCAGAATCTAATAATTTCAGCAATTTTTTGTCTTGTGGACTATATGTAATCATCTTTTATGTAAAATATCTTACTCAGGACAGTACTAAATAAAAAATAACATGCATTTTGTATGATCTCTCTTATTTTGTTAAAATTATTCACATTTTCTGCAAGGGGTTCCCAAACTTTCGCATGCCACTGTATTTAAAAAAGTATTTAAAATATTTAAAATTTTAATTAAATTTAGGGCTGTCTGTTTAACACGTTAATTAATTAGTTATGAAGCAAATAACGCAATTAAAATATTTTAATGCAGTTAACGCACTGGCCCCGCCCCCAGACCTTTACATCATCTTACATTTCATATTGTTGACTGTTGACAAATACGATTCAGGGCAACAACTCCACAAATGCAGTTATGACCTAAAATTCTAGATATTGGTGCAAAAAATGCCCTTGTATGAGTTTTTGTATTAGTTTAAATGTGATTTTATATAACAGTTCAGTAAATAAGAAGTTGATATTGTGTTACATTTTAAACACAATATTATGTGTTTTTACTCAATTTTGCAGAGAACATATTACCTTTAAAGCCACAGCAGAATTGTTGTGCGTCTTCGAGCAACACATCGGTGTTTAGTTTCTGAAGCCGCGTTTTGAACAAATCAAGTGAACCAATGATTCAAAAGCCCATTCATAAACACAGCCCTTTACTTCATTCCTGAATGAATCAGTCGTTTGAACGAATCGAATGAATGAATGAATGAAAAGTCATGTTTTGAAATGCACCATCATGCATCCAAATCGAAATATTCTGCATCTGATGAAGCAGAGGATTTACTTTCGCTGCACAAAGACAGGTATTCATACGGGATTACAGGCACGGTTCAGGAGCCGGATTAGATCAGAGATCCCTGCTGCTCGTTCTACTGACTCCAGAGTATCAGTGCCACATGAGCAGTTTACAGTCTCTGTTTCTGAAATACTAAAACAGCCAACTACAGGACAAATGAAGAGTCCACAAAGAGGCTCAATATACTTCCTGTTATCATTTTAGCAGCTAAGGAGATCTTAAAGATCATAGATGAAGTAATGTCTCCTGATGGACACTGGCTGATTTAAAGAAGAAAAGAGAAGCGGAGCCGTACCTGTCTGCGCACACCACAGCTTGGCGCATTCTCCTCAAACCTGGCCAGCAGCTGAGTTGCCATGGAGCGCACCTTATTTTCCTTCTGCTCCTCTCTCTTACCTACAGGGGGCGCACTCTGATTGGACATTAGCTGGGGAAGAAACAGACCAATTAGCACATGCAAAGCAATAAACTGTGGGTGTTTAGAAAGAAGACATATAGGACAAGCTAACATACCTCCTCCAGATGACTGCTGGCCTTCTTCCTCTTTTTGTTGTCATTGTCTTCCAACTTTTTATCAACCTTGGGATATAGAAGTGGTAGTGTTTTACACTTTATTAGGTTTAGATGTAGGCTCAGTTTACATTAGTTAAGTGAACAGGACAAAAATGCTACCTTTGGGATTCTCTTTCGAGGAAGAGCTTGATTTAGTGAGTTGTAAAGAGAGTTTGTGGTCTTTGAATAGTCTTCATTATTTGCATCAGTCTCTTTGGGTACACCTGCAAACACAATACAAAATTCTGGTTTAGTAACATACTCTGGTGTATGTTAATGCAAATGAACAGGAAATGCTACACCTGTTTTAGCAGGACAATGCTAAAATGTACTGGTAATATTACCAGTTATAATAATGGAATGAATGAATGAATGAATGTTAGATTATTATATATACACATTCACACACACAAAATTCCTTATAACTGAACATGAATAATATAATATAATAATAATAATAATAATAATAAATATAATATTTACAATATAGATAGTTATAATGTAATATATTAATGTACAATAATTTAATATAATAACATTAATAGTATAATAGTGGTAGAAACAATTGTAATATAAAATATAATATATAAAATATAAAAAAAATAAAATAATATTCATAATTAACTGTTACATAAGAAACTGTTTTTAGTTCTAAAAATCTTAACAGTATTAAGATTGCATGCACTAATAAAAAACACTTTGTCAACAGCAAAATATTACATTCTACCTATTAAATTAATAAACACCCTGAACCATTATAAAATGATGCTGCAGCTTAAGTGCTTTTTAAAGGTAATGTAACAATATTATTTTCTAATTTCTTGTAAGTTGGAGAACGCTCAAAGCGAGAAAACACATGCACAGCAGATGCACAAATGCACACTATCAGCAATGACACACAGCCTCACAATCTGTAAGCTACATCTGCATGCCAACATTTTTAAAATGCCTTACTCTGAGTCATGCAGCACTATCCAGGCCATTATATGAAAACTCGCCCTCAACATGACAGTTGCCTAATGCAGCATTTAATCTATAGCTTATAAGTCTTATGACAAATGTTGAATTTTTGGATGTCCAGGGATGGACAAGCTGCTCAGATGATCAAAAACGGACTTTAAATGGTGGCACTTGAGATTTTCCCACACTTAATTTGGAATAAAGTATATTTAAGAAGAGTTTTTTTTTTTTTTTAATCTAGGCTTCATTTGAAGGTACATAAGTACATTTATAACATATTTCATACTTCAGAATTCAGAATTATACTAGACTTTCACACTTCATTTGGGTTTTTATTGAGGTTCTACAGTATGGAAAGCTCTACCTGCGACGGATTGAGGTGAGTTGTGGAACATCTCGTAAAATTTAGAGAGGTAGAGCACCATAATGAGCTTGTCTGGCCCACGTTCTGCATTCATTTCCTTTCCTGTGGTGACCGGCTGGATGCCAAACTCCCGCTCTGCCATGTCAAACGCCAACTGGTTGTTTTTAGCGCAGTCTGTCTCGTTCAGCGAGTCAAAATCACTGGACAGATCAAGAAGAAACCACAGAAGTGAGATGCATAAGCAGATCAAATGAGAGAAAACAGGGAAAAAAACCTTATCAGGTCTGAATGCCATTCCATTGCACTGAGAACCTGTGTTCGCGCAATCTGTATCCTTGGTGATGCATAATATTTGTCGAAAACCCTCTCACAGAACGGCGTGATGATTGGACAAGCTGATTTATGATGAATCGCATCTCGCTGACACATTTTCTTTCACATCCAGAAGGAGCGGCAAGATTTATGACAGAAAATGTGAAAATTATGATGTAATTGCTGATGTAAATCATGATGCAACCTCTGCATGTTTTTCTTCCTCTTTCTTTTGGTCAATTAAATGTTTCACTTCCCTGTTGGTCCCTTTTGATATATTCACCTTATTGAAGTGAACTGAACTACTTTCACTAAGCTGCAAGGGAAGCGAAGTTGAAATATCAAAGCTATTGTTCTTTAGTACAAGCAAACAACTTGTTTTGATGGCTTAGGGAAGGAGGTACCGCCACGTGTGTGAGATCAAAGAGCTGCCAAATAATGGAGCATTTGTAAAACCATATGAGGGTGTGATCATGGGACTGAATGATAGCCAGTTTGTGTGTTATGTCTCGCTCACATGAGGTCCGGCCGCTGGCGGTGAATGAGGGCGCACAGAGCCAAGCCGCTCCTCCAGGAGCTTGTAAGGTCGGTCACATCCACTCCCCTGTAGCCCTGGGTCTGCTTCTGACACCACAGCAGCAGCCGGCTGGGACGCACCTCTGACTCTGAAATCAATACACACCATCATTAGGAGCTTTACAGTGAATCGTTTTTAAATTATGAAACTTGGAATCCAATATACATGTATTCAGAGACAGATAAAATTTGGAATGACGACAAATTAGCCAGCTCTTTATAATACCTGCCAGTGACATACACTACTGTTCAAAAGTTTGGGTCAGTAAGATTTATTACTTTAATTCTGCAAAGACACATTAAGTTTATTAAAAAAATAAAATAAAAAAAAGTGACTGTAAACATTTATAATTTAGGACTGTACAATTAATCAAATTTCGAATCGCGATTACAATTACAGATGCCACAATTACCTAATCGTTCAAAGCGGCAATTAATCGTTAAGTCCACTTATGTTATTCTGCATGCTTAAGGCGTGATATTTTTTTTCTACAGGTTATCTCAGAGGTTTTTCCATTGTTTTAATTTTAGTTTTAGTTTAACCTCGTATTACCATGCATATTTTTACTTTTTTATTTTAAAGAAGAAACCAATCCAATGTATAGTTGACATTTGAGGCTTAATACTATAGAAAAGCAATAAAAGTTTTTCAGTTAGTGTTTTTTCAGCTTGTTTATTTTCATCTAAAAATATGGCATGCGTTTGCTTCAAACAATTGAACATCATTCAATGTAAATTGTGATAATTGTAATATGTACCTTACAATTTCAAGGGAATAATCGACAATTATGATTTTTGTTATAATCGTGCAGCCCTACCCGGTTTATATCACACAAGCAACGTGTAAACTTTGCACAAGAGTTATGCCGGTGAACATCTAAATCTCAGTCAATTCAATTCACTGCAGAAAGTGAAAGTAAAAACAGAATGACGGAGTAATGACGGAGCTTTCGGCATCTGATGCCGCATATTCTCTTTTAACAAAATAAAATATAAAAGAAAAAGAAAAAAACAGCATTTATTCAAAATGGAAATCTTGTGTTACAATATACACTACCATTCAAAAGTTTGGAGTCAGTAATTTTTTTTCTTTCTTTTTTTGAAAGTAATGAATATTTACTTTCAACTAAATACTTTTTTTTATTGCTGGGAATTCAGCTTTGATCACAGAAATAAATTATATTTTAAAGTATATTAAATATGAAACCAATATTAGAAATTGAAATAATGTCACAATATTACATTTTTTCTGTATTTTTGATCAAATTAATACAGCCTTGATGAGCACAAGAAACGTCTAAGATTCACTACAAGTCCACACACGCTTTTGTTGACCCTTTCCGTCATGTAACATAACCCTTTTGATTGAGTAGAGGGTGTGGGAATTATTGTTCAGGAGAGGCCACATCCAGGTGAGCCAGTATAAAACAAATATGGATCTTGTGGCATCACTACACCCTATTTTCCAATTATATAAAAATTAAACTGAATGAGATTTTAAGAGTTGGGTTGAGTGAAAATATGACACTAATCCTATATTGTAATTATGAAACAAGTTAAATTTTCAATATGAAGTTTTATAAAGAGCTTTTGTGTCAACAATAGCACGATCAAGGGGAATCATTACCTGATATTGCTCTCTTTTTCCATCAATTTTAAGTGGAAATGCAGAAATAAGACAAAATTGCAAAACCAAATGCAGGGATTACTTGAATTTGCATTGATTATTGTGGTTGCAGTCCCTGAAAGGACTGTTTCGACAAAAGAGAATCAGCCAGTCAAATTTGCTGCCATCTTGTAAGAATTCTGAAATAAAATTCTGAATCTACCTCGTCTGGAGATGTTTACAGATCTGCCTGTGGGTCCACTGCGCTCCAGAGAACTCAAGTCCTGCTCGCCGTTAATGTACAGATGCCTCACCTGAGACAGGAAGTTGAGCATTTAGAGGAGGAAGACAGATGCATATAGATCTATATTTGGTGATGATGTGCGTGAGTCTCACCTGATGTGGTCGTACGCAGGTGGAGTTGAGGTTGGGGTAACGTGTGGCTGGGTCTATGGTGTACTGCTCAAAGTTTTTTGAGATGTTTTCTGCAGTCGTCTGAGGCAGCAGCCTGTAGATACTTTCCCTATGATAAACAAACAAAGAGGACATTGGGTCAAGACAAACACATTAAATGATTAAAAAAACATGACAAAATGTGTTCATTGGTTGATGGAGTGTGTTTGCACCTCTCTGACAGAAGATCAAGGGGTCCTTTGCCCTGAGCCCAACCCTTTATCATCCATGCTGTGTCAAAGGCAGCCAGAAACCCTCGAGCACATCCTGTACCCATGGGCCAGAAAGGCTGGAGACCAATGAGACAGAGAGAAAAACATTGCATGTTTACAGGCTACTCTAAACAAAACACTGTACAGTCCAGTGGCATGTTGAAATAATCAGGAATATTTAAACTTAAAAGTAAACTCTATCTTTTCCTGTAATCCCAGAGATTTACATTTTTTTAAAACCACAAAATAAATGGAAATTTTGGAATGTTCAAACTTTTTTTAAAAAGTACAAGTTAACATTTAAAATGAATAATTACTAAGCTACTAAGACAAAAGGGGGATAAAGATATACTAACATTTATGTTAATGCTTTACTCTAATTATTATGATAACATACAATACATAATTCATTCAGATATATGATAATACAATTAGTTTTTTTATTTATTCTAATTAAATTAGAAAAACTGATCAAATTAAAAATGTAACTATATATGATGACACCTACCTCCAGCAGAATTACTAAGTTACTAAGACAAAAGGGGGATAAAGATATACTAACATTTATGTTAATGCTTTACTCTTAATTATTATGATAACATACAATACATAATTCATTCAGATATATGATAATACAATTAGTTTTTTTATTTATTCTAATTAAATTAGAAAAACTGATCAAATTAAAAATGTAACTATATATGATGACACCTACCTCCAGCAGACTATCTCCAACCAGTGCCACCAGCAGCTGATGGCCGCTCTTTTCCCTCACCAGCGCGGCGTTCTCTGAGGCGTACATGCAGGTGAAGTCAAACATGGCTACATCTGGCTGGCCGTAGTGGTTGATGGCGTAATCCAAAGAAGGAAGCTGGTAGTTTGTGCCAAAATCTGCAGCCTCACGGGCGTAAGAGAGCAAAGCCTCTTGGTTTACGTTATCGCTCGCCAACAGCCGTTCAGTCTCAATATAGTCCTGGGAAAGGAAAAAACATAAGGAAGGAAACATACTTTTAACTGAAATATGACCAAAATAAATAATAAAATATATATTTTTGATATTTCGTTTTTATATTTTTAAATTATTTTAGATTTTAATTTACATTTATGATTTTTATTATTATATTATTGCATTGTTTTGTTTTATTTTATTTTGTGTTATTTTGTTTATTTTTATCATTTTATTTTATTTTATATTTTTATTTAAAGTTTTATTTAATTTAATTTTTTATTATTGCATTTTGTTTTATTTTTTATTGTTTTATTTTATTTTAATTTTTTTATTTCATTTTTTATGCAATACATCTAAATATATTTTAGGACCACTGTGATAACTGAGATCAGTTTTAGGTGCACGTGCAGGATGTTAAGTAATCACAAACAATCCTATCAAGTCATGTCAAAACAATAGGGCAAATTTGAACGCAACAAGTAGCTTAAAGTTAAGTGGATTGCACAGCAGCAGCATCATCATCATCAGTATTATGTTGGAGTGATGAGCCAGGTTTTTACAGTCTCCACTGTGAGTACTGGGGCCGCTGTCCAAGAGCGTGTGCGTTTAAAACTCCAGACAAACTCCAAACACTCAAAGAGCTTCAATCACTCAGCTGCTGTGCTGTAATATCCTGTATCATACTCCATGTCTGGCAGAGACGCCAACACAAGGCTTCCTGATAGAGTTTCTTTTCACAATAAACGTGAAGGTTCTCTCTAATGCATTCAGAGAGCAAAATACTTTGTAATGTCTATCATAGGATGACTAATATTCACCATAGGACACACAAATGCTTGTTTTTACATAATGGTGTGGACCATTGTTTGATATTGTTTACAGATTAAGCTTGTAATAGTTATTAAAGACCAACTCTAATCCTAACCTTGCTGCTAAAAGAAGTTAAAAATTTAAAATAAATGAATAAAACTTAACTAAAAATTAAATAACGCTAAACAGCATAACAACAAATACTACCATGATGTGTACATGCTTTACAAATGAATATACAATCTATAAAATTATTTAATATTACTCAAATATTTACTCACATTGATGATCACACCCTTGTCCAGCAAGCTCTGTTTCTTTGCAGTCATGACAAAGTAGTGCGTGTTGTCCTTGTAATAGACAATGTTTTCCAAATCAATGCCTGTACAAAAGATAAATGAGGTCCATTAGCATGATTGTGCGACTGTTTTGTTGCTGGTGTCGTGTACGATGAATTAAGCTCCATTATTAACTTTGATGAGGGCATATTCAAAATGGCATCTGCCTCAGAAGATGATTACAATGCAGTTTTGCTCACTTTAAGGAGTGACACCATTACACACTGATGCTAATAATGTGTTAGGATTTGTATCATGTAATTTGTATTTTAGAAACATTAAGGATTATGTTTTTAAAGAACACAGATTTTGTTTCGGTCATGCAGGAGCTTCACCACACCTGTCTCCTCCTTGAGCTCCAAGAAGAACTTCTGATTGAAGATGAAGGCCACTCCACTGATCTCCTCTACTTTGGCCTCAGCTGTCGTGTTGCGATTGACAAAGTTTGCAGTAATGGCGATGGCTAGTTTCCCTCTGAACTCCTTTCTCTTAAAGCCTGGAGTAGAGAACAACATAATGCTTTGCATTCATGGTTTTCATTTAGTGTTGATTGCTAACTGAAACATCACTATTATTATTGCTCACGTTTGTTCCAAGTTTAAATTTAAATCTTTAAAATAAATAAATAATTGTATAAATTTTTTTACGGATATGTATAAGATAAGACGCAAGGTGCTTTAAAACAGTCAACAGGTTTTATTTATTTATTTATTTTTTTTAAATCAATAGATATGGTAATTGCCAAGGCAGCGTATATTTGCAAAAATAAAAGTGCAAGACCTTTCAGGTCACGCTGACCTGTGCAAAACAAAAGCGTTTTCATAACAACAAATTACACAATACAGTCTTTCCACCTTTCTGTGTGAAAAAAGCAACATAATATCTTTTCTTTTCATGGTAGCACTTATACACCAAGTGTTTGTTTACTACCACTATCCCACATAAAAACAATTCATGTGTCAAGTCTGGGTGTAACTTAGCACAGCATGGTTCAAAGGTTTCTTGTTCGAACTTGGAGAGCCGATTCAAGTCTGATCTAGGATCTGCCTTTCTGCTCAATGTCTGTGAACTCCACTAACTGTGTCAGCAGGAAGCAATGAAAGGAGTCCCGCTCCACCCCTGCTGTAGTGAGTTAACCAACTTCCTGTCAAACACAAAGAACTGACCCGTGTTCTCAAGGAATGGGAGACTGAATGTAGGACAGAGAGTTTTTGGAAATTGGAGTCACTGGGGCAATTTTCTTGACTGAGTGAGCATGTTAAAGCCTTTTAGCAGGTTTATTATGCTTGAGAGAGCCAAATCTCATAAGATGTAAAGATTACAGTCTGAAAGTGCTAAATATGTGCCATTCACGAAGACATTTGCACAGTGTATTTTTTCTGATATAGTGTTCCAAGATGTTAGTTTGGTCCACCATATGATGTCTGGCAAACAAAACCCAAAAATATACCATAACATCCCACCTAACATTACCAAGTTTTTAAATACACTTTTATATTGCAATAATTTCACATGCAATCTTCAAATTAATGTAGAAACAACAATGACAGTATTATTTTTAAATATTTGTTTAGTGGCATCTTTATGACTGAAGGCGAGCATCACTGATACCAATACTACGGATGTCTCTATTAAATATTTTTTCCTAATTGAATTAGATTTTTTTTTCTTAATGTTTAACCACTGATATAACCATTTAACATTACAGTATAATTGAGAGCTATCAATTTTAACATTTAATAGACTTTAAAAAACAACAACTTCTAATTTATGTGAACTTAAAACAATCTTCACACAAACCTATTATAATAAATGTCATATTTAGCTACCTGTGCCCTTCAGCAAGTAGGAAATATACAGAAATTGAAGTTATCAAACACTAAATTCTAAATTAAATATAGATATATCCTTAAAGCTACAAAAGCTATTGATCTCCTCTTTTTTTTGTTATTTGGCTGCTATTACTTTAAGAGCTGCTGCTGCTGAACGTGGTGCAGATCTGAAAATCAGTCTGTGTTTTACTCACCCTCGAGGCATCCTAGGTGTATACGACTTTCTTCTTTCAGACGAATACAATTGGAGTTATATTAAAAATTGTCCTGGCTATTCCAAACGTTATCATTGCAGTGGGCGGGTGTTTCATATGGAAGCATTCCGGCGGATGACAGAGGATATATGCGTCACGCGCGCATCTGAGAAATGCTAGTCTCGCAAGTTTGTTTACAATTACAAATACTCGGTTTGTACTTCTAATTCGTGACCGGCGTTTTGTTTTGTTCTCTCTCCGCGTTTGTCACTAATCACGCAATGCCAACGTCCTATGTCATCCGCTGGAACGCCTTCCGCATATCAGTTAGATAAAGTGAGAGAAAAGTGTTTATTACGTTTGAAATATGGATATTTTTCTTACAAAAACACATGGATTTGCTACAGGAGGTCTTTATTCACCCCGGGGAGCGGGGAGCCGTGTGAGGCACGTTTTATTATGCTTTATTTGACGTCTTGTGGACTGTTCAACAGAAACACCCACCGCAATGATAACGCTTGGAATAGCCAATTTTTTATACAACTCCGATTGGATTCGTCTGAAAGAAGAAAGTCATATACAACTAGGATGCCTCGAGGGCGAGTAAAACACGGGCTAATTTTCATTTTTGGGTGAACTAACCCTTTAAATATTTTTAACGCTGTTAAACCAGAAAGATTAAGAGCATGCGTTAACACTAGGGGTGTAATGATTCATTCGTTTTCTCGATGCATCGATTACAAACCCTGACGATGCAATGCATCGATCTTGAAACATGGATTTTTGAATTGTGAATCGTCGATTTCGGACAGTAATAGATTTAAAACGCTAAGAATCGCATGAATCGCAATTTCAATAGCGATTCAATCCTTTCAAAATATATACACATTAAATTACTACAACCACGAATTAATGGAGACCTTGAACAGTGTTCGTGCCCTCGCATCTTCCTTCACGCGCTCCACTATTTACCGCCTGTGACTGTCACAAGATTGCGCTCGCGCTCCGTTCATCTCACTGACACATTTTTTGAGCAGCTGATGTTGGACAGAGCAAAAATCTAAGTGTCTAAAGCATACACACAGTTCCATTGAATGATAAATGGGTTTTAATAATGTCGTTGAACCGAATGTATGAAGGAAACTGTTAAAATAACCACTATGGACAAAGGCATCTGTCGCTGCAGCTAAGCTCAATAAAAAGCAGAATGAACTGAATCGTTAAGACAATAAACACAATAAATAAATAAAATTTATGAATTTTATGCAGTGCTAATTGACATATCATTTATGACAGTACAGAAACTATAAAGTATATTTTCTACCTTATTCTGTGCAGAGAATTTAAATAATTGTTTGTAGTATATAAAATAATCATAAAATTGCCATTAGGAAAAAATTTTTTATAGATTACAAATGATTGATTATTGTCCAGCAGTGTATTTGATTTCTTATAGCAAATTCAAAGTAAGAGATAAGAAAACCGGCTATGCTTCGGACGCAAGCTTCAGACGAAGAAGTGGATGACGTGTTCTCCCGGCGCCTATTTATACTATAGTCGCACCGGTAGTGACATCATGGCTGTGCCGGCCAACGTGTTGTTGGTGTTTTTGAATCTATGCTTCAGACACAGGTCACGACGAGGCGTTCCCCATAGCAACCCCTAGAGGATGCAGTGTCTCGTTCCCTTCTCAGGGAACCATGGTTACAAAAGTAACCTGAGACATTTCTTATAGCAAATTCAAAGTAAGAAAAGAATTCCTTGTAAAAAAAAATAGGTAACACTTTACTTGAAGGGGTGTGCATAAGACTGACATGACACCTTCATAATCATGACATATCTTGGCTTACATCAATTTCTACATATGCCATGTCATGCCATAGCATCATTTAACTAGCATCTAACAATGGACAAAAGTGTTTTTTTCCCTCTAACCTATGGTTCTCTAACCATAAAGGCTGCTGTGTAATTTGCCCCCTTGACTAAGCATTTAAAGAATTTAGGGGAAGCATTTAAATAATCCTTTGAATGCACTTAAAGAATGCAAAATTGAATCGTTAATCGAATCGAATCGAATTTAATTGTGAATCGAATTGAATCGTTCTGAATTTGCAAAAATCGTTCTTGAATCGAATCGAAAACCTATGAATCGTGAATCGAATCGATTCGCTGTCTACCCAAAGATTCACAGCCCTAGTTAACGCGCCAATTTTGACAGCACTAATATATATATATATATAGGATATATAATGATATATAGCAAATACCCTGGGAATAAAACCCTTGAAATTGGCCATCATTTGCAAATATATGCTGCCTTACAAATACCTTTGCGTTGACCGTAACCATCAGGTTCTGCCAGTTGAGTTCCAGGAATATTTCAGGCAAGATTAATATTGATTCCTTAGAAGGATATGTTTGTTTAGAAGATATGATCATTTCATTGCAAACAGAGTTCCTTCATTTACGAGAGGATAAGTCAAGATGCACACATAACACATAATTAACCTCAAATGATTTATGGAAACAGAAAAACGCCTCCATTTCAAACCTAAGCCATTTAGAAACTATGTAGGGTGAAATGGAACATTTTATTTTTAGTTTTATATAAACTACGTAAATATTTGCTTACCATCTAGAGTGCTTCTCCTTCCATCTGCTCCAATGATCACATCAAACTCATAGTCTGAGATGGGGTGATCGGCCGGCCGGACCTCCACCCTCCATCCAGGCCCTGGAATGCAGACACCTGGTCAAAGAGGCTCAAAGGAAAACAAAATAACTTGGCCTTTCTTTTGTTTACTGCAGCTTTAAAAGTACAGCCAACTCAGTGTGTGAAGCCACCAGGGAAAAAAGCTTACTTGTATCTGGAAACACAACCTTCATGTTCCATCCATGTGTGACGTCTGTATAATTTGACGTAAGGCCAACGATGCTCTTTTGATCAGCAATGCATAGCAGGAGAGGCGCTATAGACCCTAATGACCCCTGACTTTATATATAGTACAGAACCGAGGGTTTATCATTTGCACAATGCAGACTGGTGAGTGCCATTGACGTGGAGGAACGACACAAACCTTCTCGGTATCAGTCGTGTATGTGCGTCAAGGGTACATAGTGGGAAGGTGTCAGTTTTCATGATCTGGTTTAGCCCTGCTTTTGCTTCCATAAATTCATTAGGATCTTGAAGTAGGAAGTTACAACAATCCCTGGGTAAACTGACATTCAACCAATGTTAGGCCCATTGTAGGTGTTAAAATGACATTTTTAAAGAAAAAATTATGAGCATTCCCTAACCAGCTTTGTTAAATAGGCTGCAAGAAATATAGCCCAAAGCGTAAACAGAGTAGATAAATTTGAAAACCGGTTTACAGCTTCTTTCTGTCTGTGATCTCATTCCTAACACACTGTCCTGGGTGTGCGTGGGGATATGTGTGTAGGGCAACTGGCAAAAGGGTGTGTAAATCTGCCAAGAAATTACATAAGATGAAAGGTAATGATTACCCAACCCTTTCCAGACCACATGAGGTGTAAAGAAATCAGGTGACGGGCTGTCTTGGACATATTTATAGTTGTGTGGGATTATATGATGATGATGATGCCTGGGTGATCCACGCGTCTCAGGTCTGTCAGGGTGTGTTGTGGACAGTAAATGTGAGCTAAGAGACACGGTGTTCAATGTAGTCCTCAAAGCTAGATGTCATGATGATTTGCCAATTACCATCAGTGCCTTGGTCCTCAGGTGGCTCGAGAAGCTTGGCAAACTCCATGTTGACGTGCACCTCAACCCCAACAATGAGAGCAATCTTTAACAGCATGAGTTGCAGCTGACGAATACCTGAAAATAGAAGAAAGTCCCCATCAGTTCCACTAAGGAGGAAACACATTTATACGGTTCATTTTGTCATGTACTATTACTGAGGATGTGCCGGTGCTGGTGCAAGGCCGTTACAATAATGTTGATATTAGACATGTGCCAGTATTCGGTAATGTGATACATCACAGTAATGAATATGCACGATATTGTTATCGTGGGCACTTCAAAATACCGTGAATAATTATTTATTACAAATTATTCAGATTTTTTGAATGCATTAAGAATATTTTCCCCACCAACTGGTCACAATGTACAACACCGCTGTATGCTGCATGAAAGACGCATGCGCACTCATGTAAACAAGCACGCATGAAAAGCGCATGGTGGAACGCGTGAAGGAGACATGCTGAATGAAAGCGGACATTCACTCTCCGACAGCAGATGGCGCAAGGGATGCACCGATACCACTTTTTCCAGTACTCGCCCGATACTGATACTTTTATTTTTGGTACTTGCCGATACAGAGTACCGATACCGATATTTTTATTGCATTTTTTACTTTTTTAAATATTGGGTACAGAAACCAAAAGAGTATGTATAATGTTAGTTGGTTAACTTCATTTTTCAAATGAATAAATTTTTACTTCATTACAGTCAAAAAAAAAATATTCAGACAGCTTCAACATTTCTCAAATTATCACAGTTTATTCGCTATAGTTTAGAACATGGTAATAAAATATGACAAACTCAGAGTTTAACTGTGTCAGAACAAATTCAGCTTGATAATGTTAGATAACTTTGATAGAAAGGTATGTAATGGATTACAATCAACCAAAAATTATTCAGACAGTATTACAGTTTTTACACAACTATCAATACTTAGTCGGGCAACCTTTAGCCTTAATGACAGCCTGTAGTCTCCTGGGCATGCTGTCATCCAGCTTCATGCAAACCTGACCTTCAATTTTTTTCCCCAGACTCAGTCTGAATAATTTTTGGTCCCAAATTTGTATCAGTTTTACTGGTAGTTCACTGTATGAAGAATTTTTGTGTATAATTTGTCACAGTTTACTTTATTTTGCTATCCTCACTTACATATGCTATTGCTTCTTAAATCCCAAGAATCGATTAGTCTAGTCTGTTTTCAGTTAATGGACGGAACATAGAAGGGCACTTCCCATCCAATAAATCGCAATAAGTATTGTGCTTTGGTACTTTTAATATGAAACAAAGTCTCACATTTCAAATTCTGTCCATTGTATTGCAGTATTTAAAACTTAAATGCCGTTGTGTTTAATTTGTTTGAATAAATCCATCATGTTTTTATGACAGCCACCATTTAAATGTTTATATTTCAAAAAAACGATCTGAAGTAGAAATATTATTATGTAATTGTAACTTTATTATTGTAAAAACGTCATTAATTTTAACCTTCAATATTATAGTAATGTAGTACTAACTGAATTTCATGTATATTTTACAGCATGAGTTGAGAGATTTTTTTTCCTTGAGAAAATTTGGCATGTACTGTACCTGATATATATCCAAAATAATCGATATTGAATCGAATCGAATTTGTAATCGAATCGACAGCTTGTGAATGAGAATCGAATCGTGAAATTTGTGTCAAAACCCAGCCCTATTAATTATACATGAAAGCAGGTAAGCCCAGAAGAACAGAAGCGTTTTCCTCCCATAAAGAAAACGCTTAGTGAAGATGGTGATAAAAAAAGACCAAATGTTATAGAAATTATTAAAAATATATTCTGTGTACATGCAAGCAGATGAGCCCATATGAGCTGAATTGCATGATAAGCGTTTTCTTCCCCATAGAAAACAGTGCTTAACGTGACTTAATATAAGACGATTATTTATATATTTTATAAAAAATATACTACAGGCAATTAACACAGTAATCAATTAAGCCAGTGGTTCTCAAACTTTTGACAGTGGCGTACCCCCTAGGCCTAGGGCATTTAGCCTAACATTCTTCTGAGTACCCCCACTTAGTCCGCAGTCACACCTTTTCCATTAAGGGACAATATTTTTGCCCCCTTAAATTGATTTACAGGTGCATTTTTACTGTTATAGAGGCAAAGTTTTTCTAGCCTTATTAATTGTATGTCATGTTTTATGTCATATTCTTGACATTCCATTAAGTGTATTATTAATATAATAAATAAAGCAATAAATGGCAAAACGAAGTGATACGTGTAGATTTAAAACTAAAATCGCCAGTAGGTGGTGGCAAGTCACTGTCTAATGAGCAAGTCGTCGCGTCATTCATTCATTCATTCAGTAACGAAGCAAATGGTTGTCGTTATGAAAGGGTTAATAATCAGTACGGACTCTCCAAATCATTCAAAGCTGCAGATTCATTCACTAACGAAACACCACTGTTGGAACTATTTTGTTGTAAAATATAACAAACAATATTGTGTTTAAAATGTAGGCTACATTTAAAATGTAAAATGTACACTTAATATTGCCTTTTTTGTTGAACTGTTATATAAAATCAATGTCACATTTGCAGTCTTTTGGATATTCAGGGAAAATTGCATTCT